CTGGTCTCGAACCCCTGACCCAAGTGATCCACCTGCCTCAGCCTCCCAAATTGTTGGGATTACAGGCATGAGCCACTGTACCTGGCCTGTTCTTTATTTTATTATGGAAAGTTTCAAACACATAAAAATGAAGAAAATATTATAAACCCCTGCATATCCATGACTGCCATTCCTAGTCATCTACAGCCCTGCCCACCTCCCTCCCTCTGTTCCTCTCTCCTTTCTTCCTCCCTAATTCCCTCCCCCCTCCTTTGTTTTTTCTTTCTTCCACCTTTCTCCCTTTCACCCTTCCTCCCTCCCGCATCCCTTCCTCCCTCCTCCCTCTCTCCCTCTTCCCTTCCTTCCCCCCTCCTTCCCTCTCCTCCTCTCTCTCCCTCTAGTTACTCCTTTGGCTGGAGTGTTTTTCATGGAGTCTTAATTAGGGAAAAGGAGTCAGGCTGGCAGGACCGAGGGAAAGCAAAAAGAGGAAGCAGATAAACTATACATCTGCCCTTCTTCATGGTCTGGGACGCGCAGCTCTCCTGCGCAAATAACTCCCAATTTTCCTGCGCCCAGCCATCGCCAGACGCTCAGCTAATAGAAAAATGCAAGTTAGCTTGCTGCAACCTTGGTGTTACTGATGCCAAGAGCTTTTCACGCACAGCACAAGCACCATCCTGTAAGATCACGGCAAGCCTTTGTCTCTTAGCAGTCAGCTCCTCCCTTGCTGACCTGCCCATTGCCCTCCTGCAATGTATTTTCCTACTTTCTCTCATAAATCTGCTTTCCTTTTCTTTCTTTCTTTTTTTTTTTTTGAGACAGAGTCTTGCTCTGTTGCCAGGCACCAGGCTGGAGTGCAGTGGCACAATCTCAGCTCACTGCAATCTCTGCCTCCTGGGTTCAAGCAGTTCTCCTGCCTCAGCCTCCCGAGTAGCTGGGACTATGGGCGCATGCCACCACGCCCAGCTAATTTTTGTATTTTTTAGTAGAGACAGGGTTTCACCATGTTGCCCAGGCCAGGATGGTCTCGATCTCTTGACCTCGTGATCCACCCACCTCAGCCTCTCAAAGTGTTGGGATTACAAGCGTGAGCCACCGCGCCCGGCCTAAATCTGCTTTTCTTTACTGACATCCGTCTTGGTAAATTCTTCTACCCTGCACCACTGGCCCCAAATAGTCACCACTTACCCGTGACATTTTTTTTATTTTTGTGAGAGAGGGTCTCACTCTTGTCCAGGCTGGAGTGCAGTGATGTGATTATAGCTCACTGCCGCCTTGACCTCCTAGGCTCCAGAGATCCTCCTGCCTCACCCTTCCAAGTATCTGGGACCACAGGAGCACACCACCATACCTGACTACTTTTTAAGTGTTTTTTGTAGCGACAGGGGTCTTGCTATGTTTCCCAGGCTGGTCTCTAACTCCTGGGCTCAAGCAATCCTCCCACCTTGCCCTCCCAAGTGCTGCGATCACAGGTGTGAGCCACAATGCTTGGCCAAAAATATATGTTTCTCATTCCTCTTTGTGTCTTCCTCTGGCTGCCCCCAAACATTTTGTTCAGGGTTGGCACTGTGATCCCACAATCAGTCTTAGTGTCTGAAGAAGAGACACAATTGGACATTTGGTGCCTTTGATGTGAGTCAGCAGGAAAGACACAGAACCATCTATGGAGTAATTTTTGCAAAAAAAAAAAAAAAAAAAAATTGAACCTAAATCTAATCAAAGTCATAGATCTCAAACTACCACTTCATAGGAAAGCCAGGGGAGAGAGGAAGGCTCCACCTAAAAAATCAGCAAAATCTACTTGAAATTGACAACTCCTCCTAATGGCTTAGGGTTTTGAAATGATATCAGTCAGGCCGGGCACGGTGGCTTCCACCTGTAATCTAGCACTTTAGGAGGCCGAGGCAGGTGGATCACCTGAGGTCAGGAGTTCGAGACCAGCCTGACCAACATGGAGAAACCTTGTCTCTACTAAAATTACAAAATTAGCCAGGTGTGGTGGTGCATGTTTGTAATCCCAGCTACTCGAGAGACTGAGACAGGAGAATCGCTTGAACCCGGGAGGCAGAGGTTGCGGTGAACTGAGATAGCGCCATTGCACTTCAGCCTGGGCAACAAGACTGAAACTCTGTCTCAGAAAACGAAAACAAAAACAAATGGTATCAGTTAGAACAGATGGGCTGCCTGGCTCTCTGTGGGAGTTAACATGGAGAAAAAGGGAGGCGTGGAGCAGTAGAGGTGCTTGCAGAGGCCACGCAGGCTTCACGTAGGGCAGTCAGGATCGGAACCCCAGGGGACGGACTCCAGTGCTCCTGAGTGCCATCCTGAGCCTACTGCTACTGGACGACTGGAGCCCGGGGCAAAAGCATTCCCCTAGGCTCATGTGTGTAATCCAGCACTTTGGGAGGCTGAGGCAGGTGGATTGTTTAAGGCCAGGAGTTTGAGGCCAACCCTGGCAACATAGCAAGACCCCATCTCTACTAAAAATTAACCAACCTTGGATCACGAGGTCAGGAAATTGAAATCATCCTGGTCAACATGTCTCCAAAAAAAAAAAAAAAAAAAAAAAAGGCCAGGCATGGTGGCGTGTGCCTGTGGTCACAGCTACTTGGGAGGCTGAGGTGGGAAGATCACTTGAGCCTCAGAGGTCGAGGCCGCAGTGAGCCATGATCTTGCCGCCGTACTCCAGCCTGGGTGACGGAGACCCTGTCTCTAAAAAAAAAATTTTTTTTTTTTTTGAGATGGAGTCTCGCTCTGGCACCCAGGCTGGAGTACGGTGTCACAACCTCGGCTCACTGCAACTTCTGCCTCCTGGGTTTAAGTGATTCTCCTGCCTCAGCCTCTCGAGTAGCTGGGATTACAGACGAGCGCCACCACGCCCAGCTAATTTTTGTATTTTTTAAAGTAGAGACAGGGTTTCGCCATGTTGGCCAGGCTGGTCTTGAACTCCTGACCTCGTGATCCACCCACCTCGGCCTCCCAAAGTGCTGGGATTACAGGCATGAGCCACCACGCCCGGGCTCTAGGAATTTTTTTTAAAATAATATTTTTATACAATCTTTTTTTTTCTTATTTTTTTCTAGTCACCCACAGATGGATTTTTTACAATCTTTTAAAGGATCAAAATGAATGCAAAAAATCCATGGTGAAAAACAAATCCAACTTTGAAGTAAAGACGGTCTGCTTTCGTTTGTTTGTCTTAGCTCACTGCATTATTGCACAACGGGAACCATGGTTTCCAATCTCCAGATGCCTGCATTCCCTGCTGGCTGGGTTCACGCAGGTTCAGGGTGTGACAAGAGCATGCAATCAGATTGGGCAATGCGGGGCTTTATGTATAGTCATGGGTGTTTTGTGGGTGTGGGTTCTTTTTCTAAGCTTCATCAACTATTCCTTCTTGGTTCAAACTATGGAATGGCCAGGTTCGGTGGCTCACACCTGTAATCCCAGCACTTTGGGAGGCCGAAGCGGGTGGGTCACGAGGTCAGGAGTTCGAGACCAGCCTGACCAACATGGTGAAACCCTGTCTCTGCCAAAAATACAAAAATTAACTAGGTGTGGTGGTGCTCACCTATAATCCCAGCTACTCGGGAGGCTGAGGCTGGAGAATTGCTTGAACTCAGGCGGTGGAAGTTGCAGTGAGCCAGGATTGCACCACTGCACTCCAGCCTGGGCAATGGAGTGAGACTCAGTCTCAAAAAATGCTGATAATAAGAGGCCGGGCGCGG